GTGATGTTAGAATAAGTTTCAGAATGAAAATATCACCTAGTAGTACACAGTTCACTCTCCTACACTTCCACCTACCAAAACGAGTTTCTGTTTTTGCCCTGCTTTCACCTGACAATATGAACAACAACACACGACCTACGCTCTGGGGTTTGTTTATGTCACAGAACTTCCCCAGTTTGTAAAACTAAAAGCAGGCTACTAATATATTTTTAACTTTTCCATGTTTGTTTCAAGTCACAGCCACAAAATTCAATTCGTTTTAATGGGATTTTAAAACCATGTTTCCATCTGAGGCACTTATTGTAGCACTGGCTATAAGTTTACAGTTGTTGTAGTGTGCAGCCTCTACGGAGAGATTTTTAATTTTCTTTTTTAACACCTTAAAACAATACAAACAAGAATATGGTTCGGTACTACACAGTTGATTAGCCTATCACAATGCTGCTAAATGTGGGGTATCGGAGAAAATGTTGCTTTCACAGAGTCCTGTAAGGTCAGATGAGAGCAAAGAGGAACAGTTTGGCCAAAAATACAAAGAACCGCGTTTACTCAAAATCAACCAAAGCATATGTGCAAAAAAAAAACAAAACAAAAAAAAAAAACACTTCACACTAACTGTCAAATTTGGTGGTGAAAGTGTAACTATTTGAGCTTCTTCTGTAGCCACAGGACATGATCATCCATAGAGTTCTATGTAAAACAAAACCAACCACATAATGTGAGGCCGTCTGTCTTTCCACTGAAGCTTGGAGGAAACTGAATTAGGGAACAGGTCTAAGAGGGGCAGGAAAGGAGAGGCATCTTCAAGAGAGCTGTGCATAAACAAAGGTGTGCAATCCTCAATGAAGTGTTGCAATGTTGTAAACAACAAATATTACATAATTCCTTATAAAGCCTTTAAACCGAAACATTTACCCTCGGATTGACGACACAGTTTCACTACTTGTTGAGCGAACAAATATGCCAAAATTAGAATTGCAGGAAAAAACTAAAAATAAATTATCTTCTGAGGCCCTATCAGTCTGTAACATCACTGATGATGGCCTCACTTGATGCCATGCAAAAGTATTTACACCTCATTGGATATGAATACACTTGTCATGCTGAAAATTCAAACAAGGCATGGACTCAATATATTTTGAGGACTTCTTTGTGCTCGATCAACACCAAGTAGTGTATAACTGCATAGTCAAAGTAAAAGCAGACATGATAACTCCTGCCAAAGTTTGACTGTAACTGCAGTCATTTTTGCTTTATAAGGGATATTTACTGTTGTTTTGATTCGCTTTACATGTTCCTACACTTATAGCTTCACCTTTTTGGATGGTTTGTCTTTTTTTCCCTCTTACTTTTTTGGAGGATTCGTTTCTTGACTCGGTGCTTGATTTAATCTAAAGAATGCCGATTAACAAGGCAAGCCGAGATGGAAGATTCACTCTCCGTGCAAAGGAGATACACAGGAAGTCGCCTGCAAATGCAACCTTGAACCAAACTAACTAACAGACACAAAACAGCAGACTGTAAAGTGCTTGGCCACAAAACAGGAAGCCTGCACCAACCTTGGCTCGGCATCAGTGCGACGTCATCTGGCAATCTCAGTTTGTCTTTTTTTTCTCCCCCCTCTGCATTTAATTCATTAAACACTTGGCATATCCTGGGTGTTTTTACCACCCTCCTGAAGCAAAAACAGAGGCAGAAGTAACATTGTAGATGAAAAACAAGATCAACTAATATGAATAGTGTGAAAGTCCTTAAGAAAAAGAAGATACATTCAGAACAGCAAGTACTTTACAAAGAATTCTGACTCATTTTCAAAGATAATTCCTTCTAAAAATCCTTCTCAGTTTGACATATTAGTATCGTTTCACACGAGTCCCTCAGCAGTTGTCGCTTCAGTGAAGTGGAATAAAAAACAGAAAAAGGTTTCATTCTGGAATCTGAAGCTTTGAGGATTACTTGCATGTCTAATTGTCTCTACTTGCCTTCGGTTGCGATTTCTTTAAGTTTCCTTGTGATCAGATGAGTCACTGAAGGGGAAACAGCCACTCTGTCCAAACAAACTGAAATGTGGAGATGTGGAGTTGTAGAGCTTGAACCTGCTGCTCACAAGTGCTGTTTCTGCTCGACTGGCTGATTTCCTGTTCTGTGTGCCTTTACCGAAAGAGGCAAACTGTGAAACATCAGAGCTCTGAAAGCCACACGAAATGGGAAGTCTGACTTTACCCACACTTCCCAGTGAATACTTGGCATGTAAATTCTTTTTACGGCAGCGTGCTGACTTGGATTGAGCGGCATGCTGTTGAGTCAGTGTGACATAGCAAAAAATTAGCTTTTTTTTTTTTTTTTTTTATAGCAGAGCAGACGCCATAAAATTGTTGTGGTTGTTGAAACAGGAGTGAAAACTTAGTTTGTAATTCAGTAACAAGATAACAATTTTAAGCAATACCCAAAGGAAAACATAACTGAATATACTAGTGAGACTGCTAACTAATGGCACCAAAGATGTAAAATGTAGAAACCATTGAAAACTACATAAACCACATAAAACAATTCATGTCTGTTTATATCACAATTGAACTGTATGTCTACCTGTGTTGACGATCAAATCCGCCCTCTGCTGGAGGAGAACAGTCTTTGTTTTGAACTAAAACGATTTACATTCTGTGCTCTTAAAGTGCTTACTCCCTTAGAAGTTTGGTTTTGCTTTCTAGTCAAAAGTTTTGGTAAGCATATTTTAATATTAGACATAGATTTATTTGAGTAAATACAAAAAATGTTCACTAGGAACAGCAACAAATATAATTATTGATTATAAAAGGAAAACATGCCAAATAAATCAATATATTAGTTAAATAGAATATGTACAACAACCTCACACAAAAAGCCAAATAATATTTAGTGACTCTCTGTCATAAGGAATTTAAAATTATGACTGTCAATATCCTTAGTTCCCTTATTCCTTAAAACCAGGGTTGGCCCAGTAATAATCTTAAAAGGAAATAAAATATAAGCGACCCAGTTTTCAACCATATATTATCTGCCACTCACAATATGGCCACAGTAATAATTCATCCTTGTAAGTGCAACGAAAACCAATAGTTCTCTTAGAACAAAACTTTACGTCGTCTGCTGAGTTTGAGTAATTAATGATCAGTTTTTCATTTGACAGGAATAGGAGCCCTGCCATAGGCAGGGCATCAAAAAATTAGGTGAAACTCATGTTGTTCCTCTCCACGGAAATCTTTAGTAAAAGGCGAAAGATTTGTACGATCTGAAGAGAAACATGAGTGCATGATACTTAGAGGGCTCCTCGAGTCTTTATACTCCAGCATACAATTCACACTGACGGTAGCGATTAACCTAAACAGTCAACAACAAAAAAACAGAATTTAAACTTCAACATATTACAAGAAGCTGAAAAAAACGTCAAAAATATTTTAATATCACCACAGAATGCGCCAGAAAAGAGTTCTTATCTTAAATATTAACGTAAATAAACTGTACAACACATCGCGCAATGCATCATGGGTATCACTCCGCTTTCATCACAGCTACATAATAACAAAGTTCTGCTAGCTCATTAATAAAGCAAAATCAGCACGACTTATTCGAAAACCTAGAGGCGGACATGACGATTAAAACAAACTGAGAAAACGTTTATTTTATGATTGAAAACCTTTATAGACGGTTTCTAAAGTTAACGCATGCGCCGTATAGGAACTTAAAAACGAAAGATGATATCCGTGAATCGTGCATCTATGAGAAAAAGTGCGAAAAATAATGCCAAATTCTAGTATATTGCTGCACTATAATTCTAATACTTCTTAGGTTTATTTTATTCCGTCCGATTGACACCTATATTCTAGAACTGATGAAGCATCAGCAGAGAAATATTCACTCAAGATTTAAAAACGAATCTGTGCTATTATTTCAGCTAAATCTAGGACGATCATGGAGGAAGGGTAAATGAGAATAAATGCATTAAGGAGCAACTTCATCTATTCTTTTGTCTTTCTTGTACCTCAACTCCCTGCAAGAATCCCTTCTGACAGAATTTCAACTATCTGTTTCTGATTTTATGCAAGCCTTTTTCGGTTTACTTAGGCTTTTTGAGATTTTCGCACGTTTCTGCATTTCATATGAAATGTAGATTTTACTAGTTTCATTTTGGAAAAAAAAAAAACAGTGAAAAAGAAACATATAATGAACAGATAGTTTAACAAGATGTGCGAGAATAACAAAATGGCTAACCTTTTCCCCCTCTCTACTGTGTAAATCATTTAACAAGTGCAAAATTAAAGACTCCTAATACTGCTCTCTAAAGCAAAGTACACAATGAACAAAAATAAAACTACTTAAACTGAGTGAAACCTTTAACCCTATTTAATATTGGATGAACAGAATGGGCCTCTGAACATTATTTATATGGAGAAAAGACAAACAGACCAAAAACAAAACTTCTTGTGTAGAACATTTTTTATTACTTTGCCGAGTTAAAGTGGCACTATATCATGAGGCTCTGACTGAAATTAAACAGATGCAGTTCATTTTCAGTTTTGTGACAAAAGAAAAAGACAATTAAATACAACATAATGAACATTACATTACACAGATGACAAAGCAAGAACATATCCAGTGCTAGAAAAATTTACAGAATAAGTTTCTGGCAGGACATTTTGAGTAGTAAACATTTTAAATTAGCTGTGTTGGACTGCTGGTTTTATGCTGCATCAATGGCACTCTGAATTCAGTCCAGTTATACTTCAGTGTCCGTTTTCTCAACACTTCACTTGTAGAGCCAGTGTAAAACAGGCTCTCCTGATTTGGATTAACAAGCTGATATTATGGATTATTACTGAGCATCTTGGTCCACAAACCCTAGAAGGATTGATTGGCTTAATGTTAGCATTTGGTCTTCCATTTAAATACAAATATAATCTGAATTCCAATATCAAAAATAAGGCATAGTTCAGTAAAAAAAAAATGCTTCCCTTGTCTGATTTTTTACTGTACAAAAAAAAAAAAAAATTCTGTAAATGTTCAGAATTTCACGATGAAGGCTGCAGAGTGAAGACGCGGCAGCTTTTTGCTATTTAAGACATCCCAGAAACATAAAAACGGTTATTTAAAAAGTGTCTTTGTGCAGCTCCGTGCGTTTGCTTTCTTTTAGTTTAAATGGCCTTGACGTCGATGAGACTACCATGCTGGGTCCCCTGCCGCAGGGTCTTGATTCCCTGCAGCTTTCGGCCGTGAAGAGTGAAGCGAGACCAGGTGGCCAGCTGGAGCAGGGCACAGGTGATAGGCACAAACACCAACATGTAGAAACAGCCCAGACGGAGAGGCGGAGTCCCTGAGTCGGATGCAGACACAGAATCCTTCACAGGTGTCCTCTGGAAAATATCATAACCTGGGGGAGGAGAAACCCAGAGTTGAGGAAAACAATCCCTTTGGTGTCAACAAAGTGCAAATCTCAATCTGAGAATGTTCAGAAATTCTGGAAAGATCTTTTAAAATACAAGAAAGAAAGAAAAAACCAAACAAAATGGCTGCATTATAGTTAAACTTGTATCCTTGTTTAAGTAAGAAGTATTTAATGAAATTATTTTTGTTACTTTTAACAAAGCTGACTTGCTAAAGTTCTGAATATTTGTAAGTATATGCTCAATATTAGAGAGTTAATGACATTCATCTTCTTTACTGCATCATTGCTACTTGTATTCAGGATTTGAAGTAGCAATTACAAGATTACAGATCAATTTGACCTTATTAATTGCTAAAACAACTAAAACTTATACGTACTTGGGTGTTGGAACAGGACATTGATCTCAAACTCAAACAAAACAGGTTTTTAAATTGAATAAAGCAGACTATGACTAAGCTTCCTTGTGGAAAATGTAAGCTTAAAACCCCAATTTAAATCAGAAAACCAACCCATCTAGTAAATCCGCAAGAATAAACGGTAAATAAATATCTGGCCAGGATGTATACGCATTTCTCTTTTTAAAGTTGCTGAGTAAATATTCCACCCTGGAAAAAGAATGGTTCAAATTAAAAAATAAAACTTAATCAAATAAAAAGCCCCAAAGATGAATCTAGTTTTCCCAAAAGCTGTATGTAAAATGCTTTCGAGGAAGCGTGCGTACCTGTGTAAACGCAGAGCAGCCAGGTGCCGATGAGTGGGGCGAATGTCTGGCCCGGTTTGGTCAACAGGTTGACCATCCCAAAGAGGAGGGCCGAGGCGGCCTGCTGACGTCTGTTCACCACGTAGTCCTCGTCGACCAGATCGGAAATGACCAGCTTCAGCAGCTTGCAGGTGCCCTCTGTGAACACCCGGTTACTGAAACGAAGAGGCGGACGGTTAGTGACCTGGCGGGAATCCTTTAGGTGCGAACAGCACAGGTCAATCTTTCCTGGCGTGTGCAGCTTTCAAAAATGTGAAAACCAAAAACAAGCAGAGCAGAGAAAAAGCAGAAACTGTCAACGGTCAACTGTCGGCCATACCTAGCTATGAAGATGCACAGCAGATAAATGTGGTCAGCCCCTGCAAGCAGCATAACCACACTAAGTCCCAGTTTGAGCATAAACAGCCAGCGGATAACCTGGTAAACGCCGTAACGCCGGCACAGTGTCAGGAAATACAAGTTGTTGAGGTGGGGGGCAACGTAAGAGATCCCTGTGAGGGAGCAGAAGCAGAGCTGCATCAAAGAAAAAAATACAAACTGTGCAAAGAAACAGAAAAAATGATAATGTGCTCGGTTTTAACCACAGCTGAGGTAGAAGCTCTCTAACAGCACCAACTAAAACAGGCATGCCGAAGTGAGAAATAAAAATGCAACATTTTTTATTAGGTTTTAATATGACAGACCAACACAAAGTGGTTCATAATCAAAAAGAGGGAAAGATTTTCTTCTGAAAAGAGTG